CCAAAAAAAAAAAAAAAAAAAAAAAAAAAAAGTCCAGGAAATGAATGTGAAATCGAGCCAAGGTCTAGGTTTGACTAATGGTTCAAAATTTGTGTAAGTCCTTTATAAATGCTCGCTAATATAGGAGGAACTAGGCTGTAAAAATACTCGCATGCCATCCTATAAAACGCTTTAAAAGTCCCAACTCTTATACATTCGTCCCCAGATGGATGAACGAAACAACAATGCCATAGAGAGAGATAAGCTGCTATTTCTAACTCTTCTTCTTCTTCCATAGACAAAGATATTGACAAATTACTCCTATGACGTCAATCCCTACGAAAGATATCTCTTGACTTGTCTACATCCACAGGTCTCTGTATTTCCTTTGAAGCTCTTTGATAGCGCCTCTTCAATGGATTTAGATTCATAGGATTTTTATAATTTTTATGTTGTTGAGGATTTTGGGTACAACCATTCTCGTAAAACCAAAAATTAATTTAATTTTCATGAGTGACGCAATCAAATTCTCCAAAGCAGTATTGATGATAAAATGTAAAGGACAAGTTAGGCATAAGAAAGAAACTTGTACAAAAATGTTTGGCAAAAATCCCTTGTGGGTTTATGCAATTGGAAAAAACCACTCAAATAGGGGGAGCCCCTCCAATAGCTGACCAAAAGCCCTGTCAGCCTAGCATCTTCCTATGCAATTTTAGTTCAAAATTATAGAACTCCCTCAGCATCATGGAACAGACATCCATATTAGGGGCATTAGATTCGATCTAATTTCACCATCAACCTATAAATCCGCTTTGGTGAGATCTGTCGTTCGCTTCAAAACTATGGAGCTCGCCCCTCAGTTCAATCGCACTTTGACCCGATACCTTCTTCAACTGTCTTTCTTTAACTAACGTTCTAACATCAAACGCGTTATCCCATTTCCCTCCTTCAGCATAAATATTCGACAAAAGAATGTAATAACCAGAATGGTTGGGATCCACTTGGCGCAGATTATTCACTGCAATTTCTCCCATCTTGATGTTTTGATGAGTCCGACAGGCCCCAAGCAAGGCCCCCCACACGTGGGCACCGACTGGTTTTGGAATCTGATCAATAAACTCCATTGCCTTGTCCAACTCCCCGATGCGCCCAAGAAGATCAACCATTATACCATAATGTTTCGAATCAGGTATCAGTTTATAGTCATTCACCATCTTATTGAATATTTCAATTCCTTCTTTAACTAGACCGGCATGACTGCATGCAGCTAAAATTGATAGGAATGTTACATCGTTAGGCCTAATGGCTGAATGCTTAACCATCCGATCTAAAAACTCTAGAGATTCCTGCCCCCGTCCATGAAATCCATAGCCTGCAAACATAGAGCTCCAAACTATAAAGTCTTTATCGATTATACCCTCAAAAACCATGACAGCATCGTCCAAGCTGCCACATTTTGCATAGGATTCTATTAGTGAAGCCCCAACGAAAGAATTATCACTGAAGCCACCTTTAATCACGTACCCATGTATACAAGAAGTTTGTTGAAGAACCCCAAATTCTGAACAGGCCTGCAGAATTTTTACCATAACAACACCATCAGGCTGGGTATCACTGGCTAACATATCGCAGAATACTCCCATCGACTTGTCCGCCATCCCGTTCTGGACATACCCACACAACAGAGCAGACCAACAGACAACATCTTTCTCGGGCATCCTTTTGAAAACCTCAATCGCTTTGTCAGGGTAAGAGCAGTTCATGTACATATCGATTAGGGCTGTAGAAACTAATATATCCGATTCTAACCCTCTCCTTGCAGCAAGTTTGTGTATTCTCTTACCATCCTCCAAATTAAAAGAAGCTTCGCACGCTTGCAGGGCGCTAATCACAATAATAGAAGTGGGCTCGACTCCTTTAACCATCATCTCGTCAAAAAGATTGAGTGCTTTCTTCGCAGCCCCATTATGAGCAAAACAAGCAATCATAGAAGCCCATGAAATTACATCCTTCCTTTCCATTTTCTTAAATAAATTAACTGCAGAGTTTACAGAACCTGTTTTCGCGTATAAATTCAACAGAGAATTCGATAAAGATAAGCTGTCATCAAACCCCATTCTCATCACATAGCCATGAACACTTCTCCCAGTCTTTAATTTTAACAACTGAGCACAGGCTGAAACCACACTAACAAGCGTTATTGAGTCCGGCATTACCCCATTTCCCACCACCATTCGGCCAAAAATTTCCAGGGCCTCTTCAGGTGCACCATTCTGCTCATACCCTGTAATCAGCGTAGTCCATAAAACAATATCTGGCTTCGAATACTCCTCAAACACCCGTATTGCATCACCCAATTTTCCACATTTTGAATATAAATCAATTAAACCTGACCCAACAAACAAATTTAAACCAATCTGACCATTCTTTTCTGCAAATCCATGAACTATTCTGCCAAAGACAAATGCTTTTAGTCCACAACAAGCCTTGAGGGCAATAGGAATGCTATACCAATCCGGTTTTCCACAAGATACCAAACGAGAAAACAGAATCAGTGTTTCTTTATACTGCTTTACTCTGCAATGACTTTTGAGAATGGAGTTCCAGATATATACAGTTGTTTGAGGCGTTTCGTCGAACAGATTGCGAGTGGTTTGAATAGGTGCGAAATTTGAATACAAATCGATCAGTTGCGCTGCAAAGAGAACGTCGTGAGTGAGCCCAGTTTTGATAGTGAGAGAGTGTAATTGGTTCAGGTATTTTCCATTTTTACATGCTCGGAAAAGCTTGATGAGTTGAACTCTAGATTTCATATACTGTTGAAGACTTATGGGCAGCTGAGAAAATAATTTGGCCAAAACGATAAAATAAATCTGTGTAACCCAGTTTAAAAATGGGTTAATTTCATATACGGTCACTGAACTTACAC